CACCCTCGTGCATGTGGTGAATCATGACTTAGGGAAGTCTAAGCGATACGAACGCGATAATTTTCTAAAGTTGCTTTTTCTTTCTTACCTTTTTTTTTGGAGATATCAACGGCTGTTACAAGGAAAAGATTGTGAAGTAATTAGGCCAAATTTAGCAGCACTTTTATGTTTTCTAATGCAAGGAAAGGCCAATAGTTCGTGTCGCTTCTTTTGGGCGAAACGAAAATAAAATGAAACTTGAACGGAGATATTTATCCGCATAATGTGGAGCTTTACATTTTATCCAAACAAAACAAAGCAAACATAGCGCAGAAAATCACTTGCCTTCAGTTTAATTACAGCCATGACAGGTGCTTGTCAAATGGCTTATTTTGCCGGACTTTCGATTCAGGGCAGATGAGTGTGCGGCGTACGTCGGTCCAACTAATATAATTTCAGTTTCGTGATGACCACCTGGCCAAGTTTGGTGTAGAAAACAAGACCACACTACAAGAAACTTTCAACTGAAGGTACATAGCTGTGAGTAACAACGTTCATTGTTCTAAAAATGCTTTTATACTTGTTTAGCAAAGCCATTTACTACTCCCTTAGTATCAGACTTTTCATCGGTGGCTTCTTATGATAACAAACAGCTCTCTGCATTCTTATTTTATCTGTACGGATAGAAAATATATTTTTACTATTCATAACCTGTCGCAACTGTGAATGTACATTGACTTGTTTTCGTCTATCTGTTTTAGTGTAAGACACAGGACATAAGGACATTATGTGAATTCCCTGAAAAGCAATTTATCCTACAAAACAAAATTAATACAAGCTGCTTTGGGGAAAAACAATGCGTTTTCAAACTCTTTTTTTGAATTGTTCATTATCTTGACATTTGATTGCCAATCCCCTCGAATGCAATTTTAAAACGCTGTGGCGAAGCTATTATCAATGCCTCAGAAACGAAATCAATTTTTGTTAGTATTTATTGTCAATGACGTATGCCATACCCTACTAAAACTGAAAATGACAAATATATTTCTTTCATTCACTGTATTTGAAATCAAGACGGAATGTATTTATGCATAGAATCTTTGACCTCAGATCTAAGGTAAGAAACAAACGTGTCTAATAGAATTAGGTTCAGGATTATGGTTCTTTTTACAGTTCGCTTCTGGAACTTAAGTTATCCATTATTCACAGCCTTATATTCATTGTTCATCAGTACTGAAACTTAGATATTTCGCTGCAATGCTTCTGGCTGAGTTGACCAGAAGATCTGAGGCTCTGGTGACGTGAAACGCCAGGCGTCAGTTTGTAACACGTGACCAAGTTTTTCCACTACTGTTTACTGTAGAGATATGAGATAGATCCATGCCATTTTTTTCCACAAGAATAAATTTTGGAAAGTTTCTACCTGCTCATTCCTTAGTTTGAGAAACCCTGGGCCTTGACGAGAACTAAATAAAAAAGATGAATGTTCTTGTTGGTGTTTAATTAGTACAAACTTGATATCTTTTGAAAAGGAAAGATTTGTGAAACACGTTGTCGTTTTACTTCGCCTTAATGGAGTCCATTCGCGTGTCCGTAGGTTTAGCTGAAAATTAGGAGAGGATAATGGGAAATAAAATTGTCTTGACTTGTTAATTAAAACTGACTTCCTTGTCAACCTTGTTCACCTTGTCGTGTTAATCAATGAATAGGTTCAAGGAAAATCGAAATTCCCAAATGGAAAATGAATTTTTTTTTACACTTGTGGTTAGCAAACTCACATTTGAATATAATTAAATGTGCAAGGCCAGCAGCTAATAAAACGTCTCTGTCCGCTTTACACAGCTGTAGCCAGTGGCAAAATGGTGTTCGTTGGCAGCTTTGATGTGATGGTCTGACCCGGATTTAAACCTGATTTTTTCGATTTCCCCTCACCTTAAAAACCTCGTTTTAAGAATTCCATGTATTGTCAACTTACTGGTTTATAAAGCGCACGATCTAGAACTCGAAGGGTCGTGAAGTTTATATTAATTCTCGTCTGGAGCTCAGAATTTTTAACGTGATTTCCGGTGATAAAAAATTTTGTTTGGTCTTTAACTAGGAGATCATTAAAAGGGCAACAAACAAGTCTTTAACACGTTTATAAAATAAAGAAGTAAATAAAAATCAAGGCAAAATGTTACTGTTACAGAATCTATTTAAACCAGTTTCTTGCGAAAATAAGTTTCGTTTGCCGACAGAAGAATACGAAATGATTTTTAAATGATGACGAAAGTTTCAGGCTTAACCTAGTTGTAGATCACAGAGGTTCGGAGCATCGCTGAAATTGACTCACTATCAGTCATAGAGTTGAAGTTGACGTTGAAGTTGAAGCTTCAGCCGGGTCCGTGTGGTTTTCGTCCATTTGATTTTGATTCCAAATTGAAAATTGAAAATCAAAAATTCACAATCGTGATTTTCAATGTTTGATTCCTCAAGAATTGAAAATCACAAATTAAATTTCTGGTAAAGAAATTAGTGCATTTACAATCTCAATTGTCAATTTTTTTTTCTAAGAAACATAAAATTGAAATTTTTTTTTTTTTCAGTCGGCGGTCTGTCTTTTATACTGCCCGATCCGAAACGCTTTACCCTGCCTAGAGTAATGCTGCAAGGTTACAACAAAACGTGTCGGAAATGATACAGGCAGGCTTTGGCTTCCTGTTGGCGTAACATTTCCGCTAGAGACAGCTTGACGAAGACACGCAACACGTAACACTCCTTCACTGCAAGACGACCACCATCTTGTTTGCAGTCGCGCCACTTCCTCTTTTACCCTCCCCTCCCGTCACAGGTATTTTTAGTCGGTTGGCAATTTTTGTCTTTCATAAATAGGAAAATCAAAAAACGATTTTCATTTTGGATTTCACCAGCATTAATTCTGTTTCCCGCAGTCTCTTTACACGTGAAATTGCTTTCTCAAGTTTGAATTTTTAATAAGCTTGAATTTAGGGAATAGGAAATTAAAAATACAATTTTAACTTCGGTACTAAGCAAAAATCTTAAAATTGAAGATTATCGTTTAGTTTTCCTTTTCCTTAAAAACAAGAAATAAAAACCACCAACTGACCATTTTTAAATTTCAATTTTTGATTTTCAAAACATTGAAAATTGTTTTTCAATTTTATGTTTCTTAGAAACAAAAACTGACAATTGAGATTGTTAATTTGTGATTTTCAATTCTTGAGGAATCAAACATTGAAAATCAGGATTGTGAAGTTTTGATTTTCAATTTTCAATTTGGAATCAAAGTCAAAGGGACGAAAACCTTACGGACCCAGGGGCACCCAAGGACGATTCCCTCCCAAAATGCATTGAAAACACTTTTTTAAACTATCCACGTTGCGTTGCATCCAAAAAACGGCTGCGAGCGAGACAAGAGTACTTTTAGACCTTTGCAAATGCATTCTAAGCGACCCTCTAAAATTTGTATCTGTTCGGTCATCCTAGGGGAACTTGAGTCTTTTCGAAACTGCAAGGGCTTTGGAATTATTTTCCCGAAAAATTTAGATGCAATTCAGCGCATTACGAAAGTGAAAAGAATTTTGATTCCTCTTTCCATCACATTTTTGAATCTGAAAATTTTAGGTTTCCTTTTTCCTACGAAAAATAACCTAGCCTGGGGTGTGAAATGTGAAACATTGAACTTCAGAAAATCGTAGGGAATTTTTTAGATAAGCTTCGAAAGCTGTACATAAATGGAACGGTCATCCACAAATTTTTAGTTGTCCTCAAGTAATACAAAATTCTACGCGATATTTGCTTCTCCGAACAGATATTTTACAGAAAACAGTAGTCGGGTACCCCTGAAGTTTATTGATCTCCATAGAAGTTGCAAATCAGTAAATATTAAATTCAAACATACATGTACACACAAACATCCTCTGCTCGCGTATAGCTTGGCTGGTCGATGCGGGCGGGGGAAAACATAAGGTAATTGACTAGGAGTCAATGACCTGGCAATTCAGGGATTTTTGAACAATAACACTCGACAAAGATAAGCCGGTCGTGACTGTAGACGGCATGAATAATTCGAATTCTATTTCATTAAAAAATGGCTTAAAGCATCTCAAGGTGCGGTAATCTACATTGTATATTTTGTTTTGAATACAATCAGATAGTAAACCGAACACGTACTCGATGCATTCTTTCTTTTTCAACTTGATTCCAGTTTGTGCCTTTTTGGAGGGGGCTGCGGGAACAGTGCTTTGGAACTTGAAAAAAGGCGGCACATAAAGGAAAGTTGCGTTCTGTAGATCCCGAATTTAAGTTGCCATGGGCACGGTACCAATCCTGTATTCTGGCGTTACTAAAAGAAAAAAGTTGTATTACGTTTACAGTTTTTAGTGCTTATTGTAACAGTTGAACACAGTGCTCGATCGTGAACATGGTCTTCCCTCAGTTTGGCAATGACTTAAAAGAGATCGAGGAGCTCTTTCAGGGAAGCAAGATACTTTACCTGGTCCAATAATAACATGTAAAACAATAGCTATTAATGGAGATTTAAGAATGCTGAGATGTAAGTTATTCCAAAGCCTTGGTGCAACAATGCAGAGCGCCCGATCTCCATAAGTTTTAAGTTTAGTCAGTTACACCGTTTGGAACGTAATACCGAAAAAACTTTCGATCTTTCGATGACTCAGCAGACTAGAAATGTAAGACGGCGCCTTGTCTTTGAGTAACATTTTTTTCTCGCGAGGCCATGCAATGAAATGTTTGGATCTACGACAATGTCTCTGAATAGAAATATTTCCTACTTCAGCCATCGATAGTAGAAAGACTGCTATGCATGCTTCAACCCTCGGCTTTTTATCACAAGTTTACCGTAATTACATAAAATATTTGTTATCGATTTTAAGGTGACAATAATGGGGTCTTAAAATTCTTCTTTTCCTTTTTCTCTTTCAGAAAAGTTAAATCAGTGGCTAGTATTCCAAACGCCTCAAATTATGGAAATTATTTTGCTGTTGTTTTTCTCAGTGATTATGATTGTGAATCTGAGTCTTAACATGTTGGTGGTCCTTGCTGTGACGCGCTTCAAACAAAAACAACCGCCAATCAATTACCTTTTCCTCAACTTGGCTTTGTCTGATATGTTGGTGGCAACATCTTTGATCCCCCAGTACATTATCAGACCTGTGTTTACGCTTCCAGACGGATGGGCTGGCACTTTGCTTTGCAAGCTTTTTGTTGGAGGTTTCACGATGTGGGTGGCAGGATGTGCTTCTACTACTATTCACGTTGTCATCGCTCTTGAGCGTTTTTACGCCACCCGCTTAGGAAATCGCGCACGGAAACTTCAAGGAAGAAAGTTGAAGATGGCCATTGCATTGGTTTGGATTTATGCTGTGTTAACGGAGCTTCCTCCATTTTGTGTAATGACATATGATAAAAGTCGCAAATCTTGCTTTGAAAAGTGGCCTAATCAGCTTCATGGAAAGATTTACACCGTATTTACATTTCTAGTAGATTTTGCTATTCCCCTTATTATTATGGCCGCTCTCTACTCTAAAACCTTGATGGTTTTGTGGGTGGATTCTAAACGCTCGAAAACTTCATTATCGGCAGTGAAGACACGGAAACGAGTTACAAAAATAGCTATCATAGTCACAGTGCTACATGCCTTATGTTGGTTTCCAGATGTGACATCATATCTACTAGTGTATCATGTGCCTGGTTTAGTGGAGTATGGTTCAATTATGTACCACGCATGCGTGATACCGGTCGCAGTGGGCACATGTTTGAATCCGATTGTTTACGCTTTGCAGAGTTCAAGATTCAGGATGCAGATTAAAAATATGGTTCGTTGCTTCAATGTGATGAATTCCAAGAAAGTGTTTGTTCAGTAAACTCGACGGTTTTGGAAAACTCCAAACCCACTTATTAAATGCATTAGAATTTAATGCTGACTTGAATGGTATAAGTGTAGCAGGAACTAGAGTAGCTTGATCTGGTCGTCTTAATTTCAATCAAGATATCACTGCTAATAATACAGAATTTTTTTTAGCAAATCCTGGCGTGGACGCCATATGTGGGTTGAGTTTGTTGCTTGTTCTCTCCATTGTTCCGAGAGGTTTTCTCCGGGTACTTTGGTTTTCCCTTCACCATAAAAACCAACCACTTCAAATTTCCAGTTCGATCTTTAACACACGGACATATTAAAAAACTCCTAAACTCTTGGGTGCCAAATTACAATTTTTCAGGATATCTAAAACCAGAAGAGTATATATGGAATAGCTTACAGCCAGCATAACTGACTAATTTCATTCACCAGCGAGCTGAGAAAAATAGTTATACATGGACGCTTCGAGAAATTACTTCATCGTTAAAAACACTATAATTCTCAATATTGATGCAGGCCTACAAGTGGACATAAAACTCAGGGCCCAGTTGTTCGAAGGCCGATTAGCGTTAAGTTATCTTAACCCAGCGTTGATTAACCCGGTCCAGTATGTTATAGTTGTTTACTTTAATAAAGAAAATGAAGATCAGTAAATTTACACGTGAGATTTTAATTGAGCTTAAAAGGCTTTTGANTCACCAGCGAGCTGAGAAAAATAGTTATACATGGACGCTTCGAGAAATTACTTCATCGTTAAAAACACTATAATTCTCAATATTGATGCAGGCCTACAAGTGGACATAAAACTCAGGGCCCAGTTGTTCGAAGGCCGATTAGCGTTAAGTTATCTTAACCCAGCGTTGATTAACCCGGTCCAGTATGTTATAGTTGTTTACTTTAATAAAGAAAATGAAGATCAGTAAATTTACACGTGAGATTTTAATTGAGCTTAAAAGGCTTTTGATAGTGTTTATCGCTCTATTCCTTTCATAAAACAAATTTGCCTTGTGAATTTAAGGGATGTTTAAACGGGGAAATGGAAATTGAAAAATTGTGAACAATTCCCTTCTTGCCCGACTGGGACAATCAGAATCGTTAAGAATGGTGACGAGTATGATATCCTACACCTCGACCATTTCCAACTTCTCCACAATGCCATTTGTTTTTCCCAAGAGAATTGACGAAACTCATTCAAAAAAAATGTAAGGAAAACAAATTGTATTACGGGGAACGTGAAAGTCGCAGATTTGCGCTACACCGTTATATATGTTTACCCAACACTTCAGTATCATCGCATGAATAATTAAGTTTTCCATTTGTTCGATATCTTTTCCTCTTTGAGTTAATTTGATACTGCATTAGTTTTTTCAATGAACTTTCATGCTGCAACTGTCTACATTTTCCACCGTTTCCTTCTCCTTTTTAGTGTGCTCTGTCACCTGACTAGATAAGGTTATTCGTTTGCGCGTAAAGGTTTTCTTTGATTTAATAGAAAAGTACTAATAATTCGCTGTTGTTTGTTTTGGGTTTTCTCCCTCGGGTGCCAAGAATTAATGGCGAGAGGGTTAAAAGGCTCGGATTTACGTACTTTCGTAAAATACGATTTTGTGGTCACGGATCGGAACTTATCACAGCCGACCCGCTGCAAAGGTTACCTTCTGTAGACAAAAGTATGAAGGAGCAATTGGCACTTTTTACAAAAACGTTGTCATTGTTTTCACAAAATTATAGATAAACTATTTAAACAATGCCCATAACCAAGTTACCAACAGAGCTGCACTCAGTTCACCACTGAGACGAGCTTAAGAAGACTATTAATAGAACTAGGCTATCGGTCAGAGAATCTTTTATTAATCAAGCACAACTCTTCATCACTTGGGAATGTGCCTTACGTATACACTAGCATTGGAAGATCTCTTTCTCCTCCACAAGTTGAGCGGCAAAGTTATCCTTGAAACTGATTAAATAACTAAAAAGACATTGAGATGAGCAGGTAGCACTGAGATAAGGTGAGCGGGATAACTACTAGGAATGTGTTGAACAATTCAGCCTGAGTAGTATAGTAGGGATGACACTAACCTTTTTTGCGGTTGGAATACATTAACCGCGATGACTTCATAGCTATTGGTGTTTATCTCGTGAATAAAATGCGGGGGAATCACATTAACTATCAAGTACCGAAACCTTCGTCGCCAATTTCCTTCATAGCTTTTACGTTTTTTAAAAGAGAATTTTATTTACTGTTCTTCTGGAGGTAAATATTAATTAATCAAACACTTTCTCGGCAAGAGGCTGAACGATCTGATCAAAGAAACTAATTGGAGCAATCTTGCCGACAGAACATTTGAAGACGAGACAAAACATGCAGCTTTTAAGGAGAATTTTTCCAGTTTTGACTCAATAATAACTGTTAGGCACCGAAATTNTAGGAATGTGTTGAACAATTCAGCCTGAGTAGTATAGTAGGGATGACACTAACCTTTTTTGCGGTTGGAATACATTAACCGCGATGACTTCATAGCTATTGGTGTTTATCTCGTGAATAAAATGCGGGGGAATCACATTAACTATCAAGTACCGAAACCTTCGTCGCCAATTTCCTTCATAGCTTTTACGTTTTTTAAAAGAGAATTTTATTTACTGTTCTTCTGGAGGTAAATATTAATTAATCAAACACTTTCTCGGCAAGAGGCTGAACGATCTGATCAAAGAAACTAATTGGAGCAATCTTGCCGACAGAACATTTGAAGACGAGACAAAACATGCAGCTTTTAAGGAGAATTTTTCCAGTTTTGACTCAATAATAACTGTTAGGCACCGAAATTGCGTCTCAAATTTCCTTCATAGCTTTCGCCATTTTTAATGGAGATTTTTATTTGCAGTATTTCTAGAAAATTGTCATTCATTAGTAAAATTATACTACAAAATATCTAGTGTTACTGAAGCGTAAGGTACCCCCTTTAAAAGAAAACAAAATAAACAACAACAACATAAAAAAGAAGCGAAAAAGAAAAAAAAGCAGGTCATGGAGGACACACATCACAATTTTATTATGCAGCGTCAGAATGAGAAATTACATTTACAATTTGCATTTCGTTTCTTTAACAAAATTTTATTGAGACAGCATATAACTTAACTGCATTTATATTAACTTGATTAAGCATCAATGTCATTGTTATAATTTGATATGTACTGGCCATTTACATTGCACCACTCAAAGGCACACAACACAACGAAACACAACGAAAAAAACTGGGAAACCGTTGATTGCAATAACGTTAAGTGCAAACCACAGATGTCAGCACACCTCCCACCCAACCTGGGGCAATATGTCCCAACAAGAAACAAGCAACTGGATTTATTAAATCACAGCCAATACCAATATAAATGAAAGGTGTGAATATTTTTTTAAGCCATTTAAAGAAATTTACTGCTTTCTGTTTGTCATCTTCAGTAAAAGATCGCAGGCCATTCCAGCCAACGTCATCCTCCTCATCATAATTGTCCTCATCATCCGAAAGAGTTGTGCTTTCCATGGGGTTATTGCTCAGCTCAGGGTGAAAGTGAAACATTGTAATAATATCTTTAGGAGTGGGAAGGGTATCTTTGCTCCAAGGAAACAAACAGACTTCTATCACTCCATCACTTTCATTTCCCCACATTCCTAAAAAGAAAACATGATAACAGCATCCATTGCAGTCAGTCACATAATTGTATTCTCCGTTCCCTCCCATTTTCTCTTGGTAACTTCCTCCTTTTATCCCTTATTTTATTGTGATTTTATGGTGAAATATAAAGTACTGATATTTGCATAATTTCCCATTTTTTCTCCTGCTTCCCACCCTTTTAGATCTCCCACCTCCTGCCCTTTCCTCTCCCTTCTCCTATATTCTTGCCACCCACTCTTCTCCCAGGGTCCCAACCCCCTTTTGTCCCCCACCAATAAGGTAAATCTTCAGTAGCTGCAGCGTATTGTACTCTTAAAAAAGTCAGGGAAAGTACTTTATCACACTGTACTTCAACTAAATTAGTCAACTAATAGGCTACAGTGTAATTCCCCTGTGAATTTTACAGGCAGTGTTCAGCCAGGATCAATAAACCACGCCTTCTAAGCCTAAGAATGGACTGTACTCTTGATGACGTGCAGTTTTTACTGTATTAATAAGTCAGTTACTAGTACCTCACTCACCACTTGCGTGATGAGAAAATAGAAGTAGCAAAGTTCTTTAACAAATAAAAGATTCATGAAATTGAGATCAGTATCTTTAAATATTAAGGAATAATCAGAGGAATAAATTATGTCACTTTTGCACTGATTGCAAAATAACAACATTATTAATTCCACTAAATAACATCAAATCCTATTCAACTTATTAATAATGTATTTAAAATAATAATAAATATTTATTTATTTATTAATACTTAAGAGTATAAACTTCACTGTAACAATTTGACTATCACATATCACATTTATACCGTCTCTCATGTACATAAAATTTCTGTACCACAGAGCTCAAATGAAGGGCTTACCGCAGTCTAATTGTAACTCGTCGGCAGCTTTCTGAATCTTCATTAATATGGCTACAGCTCGGTAGAAATCTTTATATCTCAGATCCTTATCTGACTCAAGTTTGTACTTTGCCAAATGAACTATACCACATTTCCAGCGTTTTGGGGGATCAGCGAAGACATACAAATCTGAATCATCGTCATCATTATTGTCATCATTCCAGTAACAGAACCATTCCTCAGGATTTTGCCAAACAGCTAAATGGCCACTTGGCTGCTCCTCGTCATCAAAATTATAATGGCTGAGAGTATAGGTCTTATAAAATGACTCTGATGAAATTACCTCCTACGTAAAAGTAAATAAATACACAGTCAGACATACTTTCTACTAAATCGTTTCTCACGCTTTTGAAAGATGAAAGAACATCAATCCTAATCTCCAGGTCGTTATTACACATGTGTTGCATGGATGTAGCCAGCAACTTATTCATTTGTACT